GCCTGGACAGGTGACAGGAGAACAGTAGATTAGTACAGTCCTGTAAATGTGTTCATTTCTGCAGTAAAGTTGGACATTTTGATTTTAAGGGAGGTTTATGAGGACTGAATTATGTTTGGAGCCTCAAGTGGTCATCGCAGGAACTGCAGCTTTGGGACTTCAACACAGAGCTTCATGGTCCAGGTCCAGAGGCTGCTGCTTGGACCCGACGAATTTTAAACTCCATTGTGAACAGGGTCATGATTGGCTGCAGGTAAAGGTGAATGTAGCGCCACCTGCTGGTTAGCATTACAGCCCAAACTGAAGAACGGCTTTATGGGCAGGATCTTCCAAATATGGAAGCAGGTTCTACACATTCTGCATACAAAGCGCACCGACCTGGAGACCAGACTCGTCTGTTTGATATTTACATCATGATGGATGAATTTCAAAATGTCCGTCAGCTCGCTGATGACATCATCAGGCCTGCACGTAAACTGTCCTGAGTCAGTGTTTAATGAGAGAAGCTGATGGTTGAAACGAGTCTGTTGGAGGCAGAGACTGCTGCTGTTTTTATGAATGAGAACCACACACACACACACACGGTGATGTCAGCAACAAGCCCCTCCCCCACTGATGCGGGAAAATCCTCACGATCAGAAAGAGAGAGAGAACCGTCCTCATGTGGCCTGATGTCTCTCAGCCAGCATCTCTTCCTGAGGGAGGAACCTTCCTCCTCTTCATCCTCCTCCTCATCCTCCTCTTCCTCACGAGCCGGAGGATGAGTAATCCGGGGGGGAGGAGGGGGGTCGAGAGAGGAGCAGATAGAGTGAGAGGCAGTGAGGGGGAGGAGGGAGGATACAGCATCATCATCCTCATCATCGGTGAACGTGCAGAACGACGCGATAGAAATTCAAAACCTTCCCAGCTGCTGAGCTCAGTGCCACCGGAGCAGACTAATTCCTGATACTGAGGAGGAAATCAGCTCTTTGGATTTTGCTCCCACGGTTACTGGCTCAGGCTAATTCCTGGAGCACTAAGCTGACAGGAGAAGGAGGAAGGAGCCACATGCACCAAACTGTTCATGTGCATGTGGAGCGTACCTGACTAATCTCTGGAAGAATTTGCTGACTGGGAGGCTTGTTTCTCTGGAAGGTACCAGAGTAATTCCTGGACTGAAGGCTGACTGACTCATCCTTTGGTTTGTGGGAGGAGACTACTTCCTGAGCGTATTCCTTGCAGCCCACTCGGTGCCACACCTCCACATGTGATGCTTCAGAGCCTGGGACCTGGCTAGTATCTGGATCTGTGACAGAGTCTTACTGCCCTCCACGTCCCAGAGACACTGGACTGTGCCAGACACACACTCCTCCTGGGTCCTGGCTAATCTCTGGCATGTTCTGCTTCTGCCTGCAGAGTTCCCTGCTGAAGCTCCAGGCGCTGGAGGTGGAGGGGGGGCCGTCGCTGGGTCCGTCCCCAGAGGACAGCCCTCCTGCCCTGGGCAGCAAGGAGCAGAAGAGCCCCAGTGTCCCGGCGGAGCTCGGAGGGAAGGACGGCAAGACGCTGGCTCTGTGTCACAGTGTCCCTGCAGACGAGAACAGTCCTCCAGGTAGACACACCTGTCTGTCCATCTGACATGTTCTTATTTCAGAAACACATTTCTTTCGTTCTGTTGTCCAAAGTTCCTTCCAGACTCAGGAATGTAAGCCTCGATGTGTGAAGCTGCAGTGAGAGAACCGACAGCGTAAACGCCAGAGTTCATGTGTGAAGGAACTTTGTGTTTCAGAGGCGCTTCTCATGAACAAACGTGTTTTCACTGAGAACATCTGCAGCTGCTTCGCCTTCGTGCTCCTCGTTCACGGTACAGCTTCTGTCACGTTCATGTTTGTGGTGAAGCCGCCTTGTTTGCAGCCACCAGCCGCTTGTTTGACGACACGCTGTTCCCCCAACGTTCTATTTATAGAACCGCATGCAGAATTAAAGCAGCACGTGAGACACACTGACTGGGATTCAGCTCCAGACCTCCTGCGTGGCGGCGCAGCTTCGTGCACAACATACGGCGGCTACAGTGAAACCCCACCAGAACCATCGACCACTTTAATTACTGGAGATGGATCCAGCCGCCTCCTGATCAGCCAACCATCAAACAAATTGTTCTCAGTTTGATGTTGTTCTGGTTCTGGTCGTCTAGGAGGCTCTTGTGGCCTTTAGATGACGTTGATGTGGTCACAGAGGAGGTTCCAAAGGTCTTTCTGATTGTTCTGTTGGCCAGCTACGTCTATGTGGTTCTAGTGGGTATTAAGAAGGTTTACAACAATACTTCAGTGGTTCTGGTGGGAGGCTGTAGAGGGCCAAGTTCTAAAGTTGGTTCTGGATGTCACTGATGAGGTTCAGGTTGATGAGGATGTTCTAACTGTCCTCTGAGTTGGTTCTGTAGTGACGGGGAGTCTCTAGAGGTCTTTGATGGTTCTGTTGGTCAGCAAGTACGCTGCATAGAACTTTTAGGTGGTTCTAATGTTTATTAATCAGGTGGTTCTGTTGGGAACTACGGGTCTTTTTAACCGTCTTGTGGAGGTCATATTGGATTTACAGTTCTACGAGGATTAAACTAGGGATGGACCGACGTGGGTCTCTCAGGGCCGAGAACCAGTATCTGGAACCAGTATTCACCAGATGTTCTGCATAAGGGTGACTGAACATGTAGAACAGAAGCAGAACGATTCAATGACTTCCTCTGTTCATGTGGATCAGCTGACGTCCATCAGTTTGTCTCCTGCTGCTCTTCTGTTTCTACGTCTTTCACTGTGAGCTGTTGGAGCTCTTAGGTGGTTCTAGTTGTCATTAAGAAGGTTTAAAGGAATATTTAGGTGGTTCTAGTGGGAACTGGGGAGGCTCGAGAGGACCGAGTTCTGCAGTTAGTTCCAGAAATGATTGATGAGGTTCTCGAGGTCACTGAGGATGTTCCGTCCTTTCAGGTGGTTGTTTCTAGAGGTCGTTTTGAAGGTCATCAACAAGGTTTAAACAGTCCCAGGTGGTCACTATTGGTTCTGGTACCTGAAGGTCTATATGAGGGTTTAAGGTGGTTGTGGTGGTTCTGAGGACTGTTCAAAGGATCCTTGAGATGGTTTTGGCCGTAATTCTAGCAGTTCTAGGGACCCAGTTCTCAGGGTAGTTTTAACGATAATTGGTGAGGTTCTTTGAGGTCATTGAAAATGTTGAAACAATTCCTTTGGTGGTTCTTTTGGTCACTGACCAGGTTATCATGGTTCTGTTGGTCAGTGCGTAGGGTTTATTGGGTTCTGTTGGTCACTGAGGTGGTGTATTGGTTGTTAATGTGGCAACTCATGGCAGCTCTAAAGGTCTACTTTCAGTTTCTAATGTAGTCAAACAGGATGTTCTGGCAGATTTAAGAGGCCTTTGGTGGTTCTGTTGGTCACTGATAAGTTTCTGGAGATAGTTGTAGAGGTTCTTTGGGTTAAACGTTCCAAGTGGTCCTTTAGATTTTTCTGGTGGCAAGTGAAGAGATTCTAGAGGTTCTTTAAGTGGTTCTGTTGGTCATTGAGGTCATTCTAGGACTCCTGCAAGTCGTTCTAGTCATCAGTGAGGAGGTTTGAGAGGCCCTATTTGTGGTTCTGGTAGGCATTTGGGAGGTTCTAGAGGTTCTTTAGGGCGTTTTAAGAGATGAGCCTGTACAGGATTCTGCCAGACACGTGGTGGACTGTGGAGCGAGCTGTTCTTCCTTTGTATGGGGGACACCAGCGGGAACACTTGAAGCAGGATGTCTGTGATGATGTTCTCCAGGTCGTGATGTTCAGAGCTCTGAGGCAGCACACAGAACTGGTTTGTTCTGGAGTCTCTGATCAGAGTATTCATGGAGACCGAGGTGTGTGTTTGTGTGCAGGATGGACCCTCTGGTCGTCCCAGCAGAGTGTCGTCACCGTGGTTCATGAGAGGTTTGACCCTCGCTGCTTCCTGTCCTCTGACTCATCAACGCTGCTGCTGGAGACAAACACAGAAACAAACTGGTCTAGAAAAGACTCGGCTTCTGTCCTTCAGCTACAAACAGGATTGGACAGCCGGCAGCAGCTGGATGAGCCGACGGAGGACAGAGCATCTGTTGGACTTGTTGGTAGTTTCATTTGTTCTCTGTGTGTCTGCAGAGCTGCTCAGCGTCCTGACCAGACCGCCACAGTCGCCTCGGCACCAGCCGCTGGCCTCCATCCAGCCCGGACAGCAGCCCGTCCCCCCCGACCCAGCGCTGCCTCCCAGCCCTCACCCCTCGCCTTACTCCCCCCAGAGGGCCAGCCCCGGGGGTGACGGGGGAGGAGATGGACCAGAAGGAGGAGGACCAGGTGGAGGAGGCGGAGCTCTCCTCCAGTTCCTGGCAGGAGGTCCCAGCCCCCTGCCCTCCCCTCGATGCTCCAGCCCCAGCCTGAGGTTCAACTCCGACCCCGACTCGGCCCCGTCACCACCCTGCAGCCAGCAGTACATACTGTGAGCCTCACCTGCTTACCTG